GTTGATTGTCTCATTGTTGATGGAAGATGGGCGTGTCAGTACAGATTGGAAGTGCTCAGCCCATCACTATAGAATTAAAGTTGCACCATCTGAGTCCAATAGAGGGGAGCTCCCTGATGGCTGATGGCTGGGCTCCGTAGAACCGTTTAGCATCATTTCTATCAGTAAACTTTTGAATTTCATCTGCTTCGGTACTCAACCAGGAGTCCTGCATCTTGTGAAGCTTGCTCTGTACGGTCCTACGAGTGTTGTTGGAGGCATTTTTCTTAGCTGTTGACGATTGGTGGTTCTGATAAGCATAGTGAAAGCGGTGCTTTTCAGCAAATAGGGCCTTGTTTCCTGTGTGAGGATCCAAGAACCTTTAGTGCAGAAGAGTTCACTATTCTGTATTTGATAAATAACATTTTTTTCAACATATAGGCCGTTTCATGCAGGAATTAATGGGCTATAAATTTTCTCAAATGAAATCCAGTGTTGAAAGGAAGTTATTTTTCCCTCAATTTCTGGCCATTCAAGAACAGACTAGTGATGACACGTGAGGCAGGATACATGATGCAGAGACTCCTAATTGTGGATGGACTTATTAAACTGCAATTTTCTTAATTATCTGCTGGGCATTTATTTGGCTATAGACTTGACTATAAATAGCAACCAGCATAGCTTAGGTGTGCATAACATGCCCTTAATAGTGTAAAATCTACTCAAAGAGCAAATTCAGGATCTACTTTAAATTTGTCACTTATATTGATGCTATATCATTTGTCTGGTTTTACTGACTTTTAAAGTTACTGTCTATCTTAATAAGAATATACCTAATAAATATAAAAGTACAAAGGTACTATCCATATATCTTTTTTTGTTTTTGTTTTAGTGAATCCAGATGACTTCTACATAGTAGAACCATTGAAGTTTTCCCCAGAAAAAAAGGTATGTTATTATAGCTGACCTAAGAGCAGCATTATAAAAACTTGTTCTAAGAGTTAAAAAGGCCCTCACTTAACTATTTTTTTTCTTTTTTAGAAGAAGCATTGCAAATACAAAAATGAGAAAATTGAAACAGTCAAGCCAGTAGCTGAACCAATCCATCAAGTAGCCAATGGAGAAATAAAAAACAAGAGGACTTTTACCAATCAGAGAGACTTCTCTAATATTGGTGAGGTATATCATTCTTTGTACAAAAGCCTGCCATCAGAAGGAAGCTCTGAAACCTCATCACAATCTGAAGAGTCCTACTTCTGTGGCATTTCAGCGTGCAGAGGTTTGTGCAATGGGCAAATCCCAAAGACAAAAACTGAGAAGAGAACTCTTAAACGAAGACGTTCTAAAGCCCCAGAACAGCAGAAACTCATAAAAACAATACAGACTAAGACGGGGTCCTTGCCAAGCCTGCACGATATCATCAAAGGAAACAAAGATATAACTGTGGGGACATTTGGTGTCACAGCTGTTTCTGGTCACCTTTAAATTTTATTGAATACTTCATAGTGGAAATTTTTGTATGACAAATTCTATTGTAGCGGGGTGATAAACTAAAAAAGTACAGAGGAGCATCTAGCATTTTGTCAACAATTTTTCAAAGCTGCTTTTTTATATATCTATTTTCCCCAGCCATGTTCTGCACAATTCCCATTATCCCCTGCCAGCATGCTTAGTACTTGCTGATTAGGGTTAATAAGAATTCCAAAGTATCCAGGGGGCAGCTGATCTTGGAAGATCATTCAGTAATTGAAGACAGCGACATGGGGACTAATTTTACACTTTTTTGTGTAAATGTGTATGTGTTTTTTTCATGTGACTTAATTTTTATCAGATTGCTGAAATGAGAGTACACTAAAGTGAATGATAAGGACAGTCTTTGGGGGAAGTTTCAAGATTATAGTGTATAAGCTAACTTATTGAGCACTTTCAGCAGTGCCTCCTTGTTTTCTTTTTTTAAATGATCTAATGTCTTTTCTAAATTTCATATGTAATGTAACTTATTTAAAAGTCTTTGTTTCACATCTTTCATGTTAGTTTTTATAGTCTACAGGACTAATGAGATGGACCTATAAAAGAATATGAATTATGAAGTGAACTCAAATCAGAATGAGAGTCAGAAAGGTTAGACTGTGTGAATCATACAGAATTGTGGCACTAGGATCTGTAATAAACAACAGATTTATGGTGCCAGTAGAAACTGTGAATTACAAAATAAATCTGAATACTTGTATTTAAAATATGTTTATTTATTTTGTTTTACTCTGGGGCTAGGATTTCCACTGCATATTCCTGGGTTCGGTTAATATTTTTAATCATTGTTTGCATAGCTGCTATTATGCTTCCATTGTCCCTTGAGATGCATTTTTATCTCTATTCCTTCTGTCTACTGCTATTACAGTGTTGCATTCTCATACTTTGCCAAATACGGAGATAAAGTGCTCTGCTTCATATAATGTCATCCTTATATATGATAAAGCGAAATTGTGGCAGCTGTATTCATGATGATTTAGAAAGGCATTAAGTAATATCTAAGAAGTAAGAAGTGTACAAAAGAAAACAGTAGCTGAAGAAAACAGTAATTACAAACATGTTTCTGCTAAAAATTTGAACAAGCAACCTTCTACCATACAAAGCAATTTTTTTTAGCTATTTTAATCTAATTAATATACAGGTAGTCCTTGATTTACAACTGTAATTGAGCCCACAATTAGTCACAAGGCATGATAGTTAAGTAGGTCATCATGTGATAGTGATCATGTGATTTTACAATAGTTTTTGTGGTAGTTGTAAAGTGAATAACACAATTGTAAAGTCAACACATAGACGTTAAGTAGATCCATTTTCCGCTAACACCACTGTCCAGAAAAAAACTTAATTATGGTCACCTAATTGCAGGATGCTGTAATTGGCCTTAAATGTAGACCAATGTCAAGCACTGCAAATGTAGTCACATAACCATGGGGGCTCAGAGATCAGAATTTGAATCTGGATAACAAGACCCTTTTTCAGCATCCTTTGTAACTTTGGTNCTCCCAGCGCTCCAAAAGCGGAGCGGTGAGAGTAGAGGGAGAGCAGATCGACCACGGCCTGCTTGGCTTCTCTGACTCACCAAGGCTGCCTGGCACTTCAGAGCGGTGGGCAGCCTTGGTGAGTCTTCTCCAAAGGCTTCCAGTCTCAGCATGGAAAAGCATTTGCACGCTGATGGGAGGCTTTTGGGCAGTGAAATCACATTGCTTCAAGCCTCCTGTTTGTGTGCAAACACTTTTCATGCACAGACTGGAAGCTTCTGGGTGCCCTGATGTCGTGGGACTTCAGGTGCCCATTCTCTGCAGAAGAAGATGGGTGCCTTAAGTTGTGTGAGATCATGGCCCCTCATTTACATATATATGTTGTGGCTTCCAGTCTCTGGGTGAAAAGTGCTTGCACACCAAAGGGGTGCTCTGAGGTGGTGCAATTTTGCCACTTCAAAGCACCCCATCGGTGTGCAAATGAAGCTTCCAGTCTCCGGGCGAAAAGTGTTTGAGCAGCAATGGAGCACTTTGAAGTGGCAAAATTGGTGAGTCAGAGAAGCTGGTGGTGGGAATAGGTAAGGCGAAAGCTGCAATGCCTCTGAGGTTGTTCGTAAGGGTGAACGATTGTTGTGGTGCTGCAATATTCATAACCTCTCAAGTCCTGGGTTGGGGTTATGTTGCAACTTTGAACAGTTGCTAAGTGAACTGTGGTAATTCGGGGATTACCTGTACAAACACATTTGGACCACTTTACAAAGTTTCTGAGTGCACTTTCAGAGTTCATATATTTTATACAAATATGTTCATATATTTGTTTGTTAATCAGAAGAGATTTGAAATAGTATATTATCACATTTATCCATCAGAATAAATTTGGGTAAAAAGTTCTCTTGTATTTAAAAAGGATGTTCACATTTAATGGCTATGAAATAATGTCACCTTTATAAATTTGTCTTGCTTAACCAGGAAAATAAATTGATAAATCTTTCTTATGAGTGCATAATGCTTCTCCAAATATTGGGGAAGCACAACTCCCAACAAATATGTTCAGTACAAAAAGGGGAAGATACAGCTCAGTAGCTGTGAGACTATACATTGTTATACCCTTTGGAGATATGTAAACTTCAACATACATGCAAATTTCTGTAGCAATATAAAGCATATACTCAGAAATGTTTTGCTTTTGCAGTAAGCTCTTGTGCTATATGAAAATGGGAAAATAGAACCAATAGGTTTCTCAGAATGCTTCTAGAGTAGAAGACTGGATTTTAGAAGTTCAGCAGGAAAAACTATTTTATCACCTTTGGTATTAAGGCACTGTTTTTCTTCTGCAGATGTATTTCCTCCTATGATGATATGAATGTGAAAAGAAGAACCTCCTTTCCACTCACTAGGTCTCAGTCTTTTCAGCTAAATAGCAAACAAGGTAAGGATAGCTATGGTTTAACTACTTGTTTCTACAGATTGCTGGTGAAACCACTACTGCATTTCAGTGCAGAACAGTTGTCATAATACACATTATAATTTGTTGCAGAAATATAAAAGTGCAATTAAAATATTCCGATAGGTAGTCAGATTTGTTTGTTTGTGTATATGCATGTGTTAGAAATATTTTGGGTAGCTATGCAATAAAGCAAACCTAGGTCCATCAAGTGCTGTTAACTTTAGCAGTCCTTGCTTCCCATGGCACCACAAAGAGTTGCACGATCCTATAGTATGGTGCTTGTGGAAGACAAGATTTCAACCAAGTTGAAATATTAAAGATAGAAGATAACATAGCTCTCAAGGTTTTCAATCGTTAGCTTTAACGTCTTGTTTTATTTCTTAAATTATGCCTGTTTCTTGAAGTTCCAGTATATGACATTTTCCCCTGAAAAGTAACCACAGATTATTTCGCAAACTGGCACATGGGCAGATGTTGAGAATTCTTTAGGAGTCAGTGGAATTTAAATGTATGTCTTTGATTACTCTCTTGGCGGTAGAGGTACATCAAAATTGATTTGGAAGTAATGTTTCCCAAATAAATTCCCACAAAAAGGTGTTTATAGTTTATATTTAATTCCAAAATCTTGTTATAAAAGTCATTTTTTTCACTATTTTATTTCTTTTCTTCCACTCCGTGCCATTTTCCCCCTAAGATCCAGTTCTGATATTACCGGCAGCAGTCTTTCCAATATTCAGAATCTCTTATCATCTTGTATACTTTATTTATTTTAGTCTTTTCTCATGAACAATCAAAATAATTGTTCATCCATTTGTCATATCTATGTATGATCAGATTAGCTTCAACTATATGTTCAAACGAAACACATTTTTATACAGTCCTTATAGTTTTCTATAGCTTGATCACCATTTCCATACTATCAAACTCTCACTTGTTCCCGCATGGATCCCATTTGTGTGATCTAGTCAAAATAAAAAAAATGTTCTGGATCTCATTCAGTTACAGTGTTTTATGTATTTTTTTCTAGAACTCATTTTTGGTTCATTTGTTTTTCATTGGTGCATAACATGCAACTATGGATACCTGCTTTCATAGACAATCATAACCACTAGCTTACACTATGTTTTCTGAAACAGATTTTAGCCCTTTGATTGCTAATTAAATCTGTCCATTGATTTGCATTCAACAATGAATCTTAGACTGTGCTGTACCTTAGAGATTATCTAGTTCAATCTTTGTTCAATGGAAAGATCCATTATCCCAGCATTTCCGGCAGATGTACTGTACATCCAGCCTCTGTTTAAATATCTCTACTGGAGGAGAGTCCTGAAACTGCCTGTTCCATTATTAAACAGGTTTTTATCATTAGAAGTTTTACCTGATGTCCAGTTAAATTTATTTCATTAAAATATAAATCCACCAATACTTGTTTACTGGAATAGCGTTGAACAATTTGGCTTCATCTTCTACATGATACCTTTGAAAAACTTGAAGACCACTACTATATCTTCTCATAATTTTCTCTTCTCCAGGCTAGTCTTCTTCAATTTTCCCAAATATTGTTCTTATCAGAATCTTGCTGTCATTTGGCCAGGCTTCAGTATGTCCATCCTATAATGCTCTGTAAATGCGATAGAGCAGGGGTGTCAAACTCAAGGGGTGGGG